TAGCTTATGATCCTCTCCCAGCTCCCAGTGATGCCCTGTCATGGGGATCTCCACCAGGGGACAGAACTTCCAGGGCTCACCAAACCCATCTGTGCACTCTCTCAGCTCCTCCCACCCTCCCTGAACCTCTTTTCTGGTCCAGAGCCTTGCCCATGAGAAATGTCTAATAGATTCCTTTTCTCTTTTGTGTGATTAGCTAATTCATGTCTTGTTTGTATCATTTTCACAGCCATTTTATTAGGAAGGCCTCATTATAGTCTTTTGGAGTAAGCTGCACAAGGATGAGAGAGTGTATTTCACAAATGCAGTAATTAATTTCTCAGAATCCCCTTAGAGCACTCAGGATGTGCTCATCTTGCTAGGATGGGTGATAAGGCACTCCAGGCTTTGGCCTCCACCTCCTTCCTTTGCTTCTCTTTTCTTCCCTCCACCATTCATTCTATGATAAGTTAGGCAGAACTACCCATGGTTCCTTGAAACTGTCACTACCACTACACACCGTATTTTGACCCATACGTTCTCTCCTTCCTGGAATGCCTTTGTACCTTCCTCTGGCTCATAGATATGCCTTGTCAACTGGCATGACAACTTCAAGGTAAAAATCACCTGCTGTCTCCTGAGGCAAGCAGCACTCTGTCCCTTTCTAGGCTGGTGAAGAGCCCCTGGTATCTCCAGAAAATCATAGCAACCATCGCCTATCAGAATATTGTCTTTTCATGTTCCAGCTTTTCTGCTTTCGACTCTGTTTGCAAATCCAAGAAACTGAGGATGATAATGAACTTAAATTGCTTTGATTAAAACAAAATAGGGAAAAGACATGTTGGCTCAAAAACACCACACCATACTCAGGACATAACTGAAACCAGAGACTCAAATCATACCACCAGATTTCAGCCTCTTGTAGCTTCCAAACTCTGTTTTTTTTTTTTTTTTTTGTGAATTTTGTTCTCAAGAATCCTTCTGTTCATACAGCCCTTAGATAGAACAAGTAACTGTTAAACGTTTAGATAGAAGGTGAACCTTGTTGTGAAAGACTGTAGCAAGCAGAAACTTAGGGCCATGTTAAGGAATGAAGATTTTATAAATGCATCAGGAAGGCATGAGGCACAAGAAATGGTTTTATGCTAAGACATCTACTTTTGTTTTAATTGCATAAAAATGAATGGAAGAAGCAAGCACGGAAAGAGGCCAGCATCTAGGTTACCATAACTAGAGCTCAGGGGTGGTGAACTGAATTATGGTGATTACAGTGAATATGGAGACAAGTGGACAGAGATAGGGCATGCTTTTGAATTAAAAATTAGATACTTTTACCATGATCTAGCTAGGGAATATGGTCATGAAAAGGATGGCTAGAGCATTTAAAACCTGTCAAACAAGGTTCTGCAGAAAAGATGGATTCAGGGGAAAGAGATCATAAAAAGGAAGGAGGGGGTGAGTTCGGAAAGCAAGGTCAATAGTTCCATTCGGGTTACTGACTATTAATGAGACAGTTAGGTGATGTTAGTTTTATTTTTGTACAGATTTGCCTTCCCCAACTGCTGCAGATCTGGGAAGGATATTTAATAGCTAATCAGAGGAGAAATGGATGTGGGAAAGTTGATCAATACAGACAACAAAGTTGATAAACACAGCTCACCTATGAAGTACTGAATTAAAGATTTAGTGTGAGAGAGATCTGTGCTTAAAATAAGGTGATTTGGGCTCTATTACCAATTCTGCTGGGCTCTAGCTATATGTGACCTCAGGCTCTTCAATCATACAAGGAAATAATTCCACAGCTCTCATTTGTGTTATAAACTATAGGGAAATATAGATGGTATCTGTAAATCAAAGTTACAATCATTTACATGCAGACAGCCATCAGCACCAAAATGATCCACTTGGGGAAAACTGGGTATATTCTTTCTTCAGACCGTAGAATTTTGAGACAATCCCAAGAACAGCCTCAGTCTTCTTATGTCAGTGAAACCCTTTGCTCACTCTGTTTCTAAACTTCCCCAGCATACCTAGTCAGTTGCTTACAGTTTGTCCCCTCTGACCGGTATTCAAATGCATTTCTTATCCATTATGTCCTTGATTCTAGGGCTAAATTCATTCCATTTGGCTGAAGAAACAGGCCAGATGATATCTGACATGACTGTCTTCCCCCCAGCCACCAGGGAGCTAAGAGATGATTTGAAATAACTTGCCAAGAAAAGGCTGAAGACTGAAACAATTATTTGTGTGCTGAACATTGTAGGTTTTAGGGCTGTATTTTTTTTAACAGTGAAGCCTGGAAATGCCCAGGAAGCAGATGAGATCATCTGTCTGGTCTGTGAGCAGCATGTTCTGCAGGTCTTCTCATTCTGCATTACGTCATGCTGGAAGGAGAAAGTGTCTGGACGGTCCGTATGCAGTCTGCAGGGGTGCGAAGTGAGGCAGACACTGGCTTGCTGCAGAATACTGATTCCCAATTCTGCTCATACACAAGCACACACATCATTAATTCTGCAGCAGTTACAGAATCCTCACATTGCGCGTGTGTTTTCCGATGTTAAGATAATCTACGTTCATTCCTTTATTCATTCCTTTACTTATGTTTATTTTGAGTGTTTCCTATGTGGAAGGTGCAATTGTAGGTGCTGGGGATAGATAGGCAGACAATACACAGTCTCTCCCTTTGTAAAGCTAACGTCAACTGCATGGGGTGGACAATTAGCAAAACAACACGTAATATATGATGCAAGGTCAGATAGATGTGCCAATGTAAAAATTAACAAAGATAAGAAGATGCAGACGCATAAGATGGCATTTTGATTTAAGTTTTGAAGGAAGGGCCCATACATAAGAAACTGCCACTTGGACAAAGGACAGAATAAATGGAGGGATTCAACAGCAAATACCTGGCAGAAAGGAATCTCCAGGCAAAAAGATTAGGTGCAAAGGTCTTGAGACCAGAAAACATTTTAGGAAAAAGGCTGTAGTTTTTCACATCTATTAGCTTGCAGCATACCTAAAATGCTTTATTAATCCCCCTGAAATTCTTCCCATCATACAGGTAAGAAAGTTGTCCATCCAAGAAGATATCAATTCACATTCTCTGTAAACAAGTCCTCATATACTTTCCACAGATTAAACTTCATTCTTTTCTGTATTTATTTAATTCTCAATTTATTTAATTCTCAAGAATGCTTAGGCATTCTTCCTACAGAAGAAAAATCAAACTAATTGTTACATGGTTTATGTTATTAGGAAAGAAAAGGAAGAGGAAAGAATTCTCTTACTTCCTCTTTGGTTTGCATAACAACACTGAATTGCTACATTTGGAGAGAAAAAAATCTAAGGCAGTCTGTCTAGCTATATTCTTGGTCATGTGCAGTGCTCCAGCCAGTTGAGAGTTATCCCCTGGCAACACCAAGGATGTCACAAAGCCATCATTCTTTTTGCAGACCAGCTGGGTGCTTACATGCACATTTGCATTCAATGCATAATTTGCTCGAAACAGATTTGTCTGAGTCTTTTATCTCAGGTCTTGGGATCATGAATAGACCTTATTACTCAAGCAATTATTCAAAACCTTACTCAAAGGGTGCTTTTTGCACATGAACATAGAGTAAGACTTTAAACATACTCATTTCCCTGATAATAGGACCCATTTTCATGAAATTAAAGTTCTGATTAGTTCCTTTGCAAGAAATGGGAAATGACAACAGAAAGGAAAAGAGAATTAAACAGGAAATGGGAAAAGAGTTAACACTAATTATGTGTCAGATGCATTTAGTCCTCATCCTAACCTCTTAAGTTAAATGACAGTATCTGTATTTAAACACAAGCAGCACAAAGCTCTATGGAGACTCCAGAAGAGCTAAATTCTAAACTCACTGGGGAATGCCTTGCTAGAATTCAAATTCAGGTGTAGCTGTCTACATTATAATCCATCCACCAATACCCTCAGTTTTCTTTCCATAAAGGTAGATATATTCAGCAAGTCTTTGATTTTTGGAGTCTGGATTCTGTTCATTTTTTTCAGCATTAACATATCAAGAAAATGAAATTTTTGCATGGTACCCCCAAATTCCTAGCCATTCCAAATTTAAGCAGAGAATTCAGATTAAACAGAGAATGATATTCCTTTAAAGAAGTCCTTCCAAACAATTCTGGCTTCAAATTTCTGGCTCCCATTTAAGGTTGCTTAACAGAAATCATATAATAGATATAAATAGCATTGGGTAATTGTCGAGACTCCTTGGTGAGTGACCACTGGCTCAGTCTGAGGTTTGGATGACACTATCACAAGAATTATTGGGACCAACTGAAACTATGCTCCTTATAACAGTAGTTTCTTTCCAGAGGAAGTAGAATTATTCTTAACAAAAAGATTTTGCAAGCTACTTTCATTAGTCACATAATTTCCCATGTTGTGATTATTTGCTTGCATGGCTGGGGCACATTTGGAGTGCTGGCTTGTGCTAGCAAGTTGGTGCCCTGGTATATTTTATGGAGTAGATATCAGTTATCTACTGGAACAAAACTACTCCAGAACTTAGTGGCTTAAAGCACAACCATTTATTTTGTGGGTCTGCAATGTTAGGCAGCTGGGCAGCTGTTCTGGTTTCTTTAGGGATCCTACTGACACGTGAAGTCAGATATGTTCAGCTAGGCAATTCTGCATCCAAGGCTATGGTCTACGTGTCTTTCTCTTCCTTCAGCATGCTGACCTGGTCTGTTTCCATAGCTTAAAGGGTTGTAGGAGCAGGAAGGAGAAACAGAAAAAAGCAAAATCTTTGGCAGCCAGGACTTAAAACTAGCTTGTTGTCATTTCTGTCACATTTAGTTGAACAATTTGAGATTCAGTGTCCAGATTAAAGTCATGGTGAAACAGATTCCCCGCTGGATGAAATGAGTTGCATGTCAGTTTCAGCAGATATGGAATGACTAAAAAATCAGAGCCTCTTTTTTTCAATCTTGTCTTTGTTACTTTTTACTCATTGCTAAGACAAAATATCTCAAGCCCAAAATTGGGAAAGGAAAGGTTTATTTCTTACAGTTTATGTAGGTTTCAGTCCATACTCAGTTGGCTCCAAGGCGGGGTGGCATGGCTGGGCCGCAGTTCATGGCGGCTGCAAACAGCAAGGCAGAAACTGGGGGCAAAAGAGTGAGATACACCTTCTTGCCATTACATTACATCTTGACTCCACCCCTAGGCCAGTGTAGCACTCACACCCCCAATCCAAGCGCTAGACAATGAGCCAATCACAAATGCACAATGCAAATTTATGAGGCCTGGGGGCCACCAACATAAACCATGACAAATCTATATGAGAGAATTTTCAATAAATTAATGCATGAATGGCACACAAAATTATGGTATATGACATATTTTCTTACTAAAATTAATGACTTCTTCCGTCAATAGCTTACTTCCAACCCAGATAAAGGAAATAAAGTTCACCAGTATCTTAAAATATGGACAGCCCATTTTCTATGCACTGTGTCCAAAATGTGATTGAACTTCATGGTTTGCATTTCGTTTGTCCCTTGTAGGAACGAGCATTTCCTGACCCCCAAACTTTATTGTCTTCCTAGACTTATCTTTACTGTATCCTAAGAGGCAGCAGAATGGTTGGGTAAGAGACAAGAGACAAGGCATTTTAAAATTAGACAGATTGGTTTTCAAACTCTAGCTCATACATATTCTAGTTATGTGACCTATGCTGTCTCACTCACAGGTTTAGGTTTGCTTCTTTACCTGTAAAGTGAGAATTATTAATAATGAGTGCCTATTACATGAGACGTGCATACACAGTACTTCAATGACTGTCAGTGCATAAGTGATCATAAATATTGATTCCCTCCACGTTTCTCTTCTCTTAGTCTCTGCATTGCTAGAGGGCACCTTCCCATAATTTTTTGGCAGGAACATGTATTTTAAATATTGATATGAAAAGCTGTTCTGGCTTTACTCAAAATCAATAATAAATATTGGGTATAAATTTTATTTGAATTTTTGAGAAAATTAAGAATCTTAACTGGAAAGCAACTTGAACAAATAACCTGTATTAAAAGAAACCTAAATGTGAATTTATATCTGGCAGTTATCAGTAAATAAAACATGTGAGCTTCAAAAATTTTCCAAGAGGAGGATTGCACTTTAAGCTAGAGTATATATCTATCCCTATAGTTGGAGAGATATTGCAAAAAGTTCAGAGAATCAAATATGCTGTAGATAGACCAAGAGTTGATCTTGTCATTGCAGAGTCCTTCAGGTGTTGAGTTCTATCTTGTGATATCTGCAATTAAAAAGAAATTCTCTCTTTATTTCCATTCTGAGCACTTTATTCCTGAAAATAAAACTGGCTGACATCAATTTTACCTCTGTTCTATTCAGTGTTCCATCTACCAGCTGTGCCTCTGTTATATCCCTATTCTGATCCATACTTACTTTCTCCTGTCTTGTCCAGCATCCCAGAAGATTCCAGAATGATTTGCTCATTATTTAGCTAAATCTTGATGGAAGGGGAACCACCACAGTCCATGATGCTGCTTTCTGCCAAGTCAAGCTCCAGCTTTCACACAGCTGTATAATTCTTGTAGGTCACTCTTGCATGAGACTAAAATTCAGTCAAAATTCTCAGACATAAGTAAAAATCTACTTCCATAACTGATCACCATAGACACTGCATGCATTAAGTCCTGTCCTTCCCCACAATGGGTTCATCAAAGAATTAAAAGCTGCAGATAATAATCCAGTTTTAAAACCATTCACATAGATATCTATCCAGAGCAGAGACTGCAGTCTCATAGCAGTCAGCACAGTGCAATGGTTCCCAGCACAGGGTCAGAACCCAGAGCATGCTGATTCACACCTTACCTCTCGAACTGGCCAGCTGTGTGGCCTTGAATGATCAATCCATTTGTCTGAACTTCAGTTTCTTCCCGTGTGCAAGGCAAATGGTGATATTGTCCTTCTTGTAAGTTTGCTGGGGGACTGAATGAGTTAACCGCAGTATTTCAAAGATTCAGTATGTACACAATTGGATTTGTGTTATTACACACGCAGTTTCAAATAATCAGTTACCATGTGATCTTGATCAGGTCATACAAATTTGCATCTAATTTTATAAATCTATAGAATGGATATAATAACATTTGCCTTGAGAATGATTATAAGGTCCAGGGTATATAAAATATTCAACATAACAGTAGCTGCTACTGAGAGCAGTAACAATTGTCATTCTCATGAAGTAATCAAGATAGTAATTACTTGGGGAAATGAGGGGCTGTTTAAATATAAAATTATGTTTGAAAACTAATTTTCATGAATCTGCCATGCATAGAGACAGGAATTAGAAGTGAAGGCATTGCAGTTAATAATGACTGAATTTGAATTACTAGGTTTACTACTCAGCAAGAGTAAGACAATGAAACAATGCCTTCTCTTTATTACTCTTTCTTCTTTGGAAAGGCTGGAAAAATACCACCTATCTTGCAAGGTTGCTGTAGAATTGAACAGGATACTATGTAAAAGCACTTGGCACATAACTGGAGCTCAATCAATGGTAGCTATAGTACATCAAAGGTCGAAAACAGGAAAATGACCATAATTTTTATTAATATGAAGTGAATTGAGAAGGAAAAACCATGATTTATTCTTGCAAGTTTGGCTCTGACTAACTTAGTGGAGATGGAAAAATAGAAGAGGATTGAGAGCTAGTGGAAGTAAGTATACAGAATGTGCGAGGAGTTTTGCTGAGGTTAGCTATAAGGAATTTGTGGTTTGATTCAAAAGGCTGGAGTTTTATGAGGTTTGAGGGCCTTTTTCAAAAGGAAACCAGATGTATGAATGGAAAGCTCAGGCAAACTGTGCTATCGTCTGCAACCCTGCTTTGAGTCTAATGCTGTTATACTGAGTAGGCACTCAGTTGATTCTATACTGCTTTTAAAGACCCATTTGGTCATCCTGCACTTTGAGTGATCTCAAATGAGTTGTTAGGCCTGTATTTGTAAGCAATAATCCCTACAGCCAGTAGCAGAGGAATTATTCCAATATAGCCCAGAAAACAGTGGCACTTCCCAATTCAAATCTCTGCTTTAAATCTTGGAAGAAGACCATGGTTTCTTTCCCTTGAATCCAGGATCTCTAGATTTAAGGTTCTCTTAGCAGAGCTAACTGGGAGGAGCCAATTGAAAGTTTCCTAAAGTCTCTTAGTCACCTTACAGGCCCAGAAGGAGGAAAAAGCTCATGAGTCCATAAACAAAACTGAGTTTCTAGCATGCTCATCAGAATTAACTTGTAGATCTCATTAAAAGTTTTTGTATTAAAGAAGAAAACCTCATTGCAAGATCTTCAATATACATGCATATAGATTAGGTTCTCACAGTAAAATATGGTGCCTAAAATTTTCCATATACAGACCAAGTAAATTATTATAATAAGTTAGGCACTGTCTTTATTCAACATAGAAGGTGAAGAAAGCCCACAGAGATCTAGTGACTGGTTCAAATCTGGATTTGAACTTCTCAGTCTGTGTCTGTGTCTTCAGACCAATGTTTGTCTGTGTGTGGAATGCTTCACACAATAGTTTGGGACAGAATTTGAAGTGGTACAAGAAATATATATATATATAACCACTTTAATGGGTATTTGATTGGTATGTGTGGCAAAACATCCAGGAATATAGAGCTGTAGTTTTATGCAACTAATTGCCTAGTATGGGGTTAGCTCAACCTGAGTCTATTTAAGGAAAGATAAACAGAATTTTAAATATTGAAAACACAGATATGGAAAAAGTTAAGAATGAGGCTAGCAAGTACTGAGTAAGCAATGAATATACGCTGAATTATCAGAAATAAATTCTTAAAAGCAATGCCTGGATGTATACATGGACAAGTATAATCAAAAGCCAAGACTAAATTTTTCTACCTTCAAGTTTATTCTTCTGCTACTGTCTATTAGGTGCATTCAGCAAGATTGTTGTGACCCTTTCACCTGTCTTACTCGAAAATGAACAGTATAAGGAACAGATCAGGGCATGGCGTGGTAATGAAGTCTACTAACTGGGAAACCAGACAAAATGAAATTAGATCAATAGCTGAATTTTTAAATTAATTATTTTGGTTGTTCTAAAGCTCACAGTATTAAACTAATTCAATGCATATCTAACAGATAAAGCATGTTAAATCTTATTACCAGAATGGAATGTACAGAAACTTTCTCTTAGCTAGTCTGGCTCTATGGATAACCACAATAATAAATCTGATATAGTTAGCTGAGATCACAAGTACAATGAACAGAGCTATGAATCAATGAAAGGATGCATTCTAAAGTGACTACATACTGTGGTACATTCTGCATAACTCAACAGGTTTGCCCATTTTCAGGTAGGACTCATTTGCTAAAAGAGGTATGCACCTTCCTCTGACTCAGTAGTGAGGAAATAAAGTACAGAGTAAGTCCTCTAATTAAGAAAAGCTTAGGTAATTTGAAAAGAAGAACACTTCCCTAGGGTTTTTTTTTTTCTTTTTCTTTTTCTTTTTTTTACTGTAACCATTCTCAGGTTCGTATCTTCAATCTTGTCCCTATATTCTTGCCTATATTTTACAAGGCTACTGTAGTAGCTGCTTAAATATTATCTCTACTGCTAACTTCCTTCAATATCCTCTCTCCAGTTCTAGTAGAAAAACACAAAACTTGGTTGTGTGAGTTAACTTTCCCATTGCTGAGTATAATACCCAATACCTTGCAATTTAAAGAGAGAAAAGTTTAACTGGGATAATGTTTTAAGGAGATTTAGTCAATGGTCAGAGTCAATGGTCAGAGGGTTGCAAAGCTGAAAAATAGTGTGGTGAAAAAGCTGCTTAGCTCATGGTGATGCAGAAGTAGAGTAGGGGAACAGTGCCAAAAAGGATGGACCAAGCTATCAGATATAACACCCATGGCCATCTCCATTACTCACTCGGGTGCACCCAGAAGTGTGCTCCACCAACCCCATGGAGAGCTCCCAAAGCCAATCAAGTTGACATAATAAGACTTAGCCATCACACCAGTTCATACATTGGCCCACAATTTTTAAAAATAGAGATTAATTTCCCCAATTTCCTTGTAGCTAAGTTGGACACGTGGTGAAGGCTTGAAGGATAGGTTAAAATCAGAAGTATATTAAGTAAGTTCTGGAAGCCTTCTTTGAAAGAACACTGGAGTTTGCCTTTAACTCTTTTATATATTATTTCTTTCTGCTTCCTGCGGTGACTTTAGGTTTAGAAAATGAGTTTGAATTCTTATATGTGGATGGTTGAAAATATCTAGATTTTCTGAATAGAGGCACAATAGCAGTGCTGAATTATAACTGTTTTCTTGTACATGGAAAGTAAATAACTTCTACAATTTTTTTCTATGTCCTTGGGAAATATCATTCTTAAGTAGCAGTTTTTCTCTCCTCTAAAATGAAAAGTGAAGGCCTTGCAGACACCCTGACCACCACCACCAACCACCCCTCAGCCTCAGACTGCCTATGCCTCCACTCCATGCACTTCCCACATGTCCCATGGATGCCTGGACTGAAGACTCTGGCCCAACCCTTGGTTCCAGACCACCTATGCCACCATGTTGCACACTTCCCATGTACCCTTGGACACCCCAATCAAGGACACCAGCTCACCTCTAGAGAACCCCCTATCTCCTGGACCTAATACTGCTGTTGATCTCCAGCTCCCACCATTTCTCCAGGAACCTTGGACTACAGTGGATTAACCATGCTAGTTTGATGGGAGATTCAGTCACTGCCTCACCCAAACAGAGGATCTCAGCAGGCTCTAGTCAGTGTGGTGAGTATGCCCCTAAAACAGAGGTCTGCAGTGGGTAAATAGGGGGAGTAGTAAAGCTCCCTCCAACTAACTGTAAATCCTTGGCAAATCTGGAAAGAGTGTGGGTGACTCCCTCTTCCCCATAGAGAACATCAGGCAGGGTGAGGAGTGTGCCAGTAAGGCCTCTCCCAAATTGAAGAAAATTAAATGGGCTTATGAGACATACAGGAACACAGTAGGGACACAGAAGTGCCTCTGCCAATACAAACGCTATATACAGGGAGATTTGGTGTCCTGAAATAACCTAAAGACAAAGTAGCAGCAGGAACTAAGAGTAGACCTACATCAATACTGCTAGGCTTGTCAGCCCAGGAAAAATATAGGACTCACCCAACAAGCTTTGCAGGAGAAATTCAGGTGACTGGCCCTCCTCTTCATTGTGGATTCAGCAATCAGACAAACATCAGCCACACAATAGGACTCTAAGATGCACATGACCATTACTTGAGACTATGGGGATTGAAAGACCAAATAATTGCCCAAAGGGTGAAAAGAAAAAGCAAAATGCAATCTCAAACATGTAGCCCATCAGGAGCAAGTACAGGCAACATTGAAATAGAGGATTTTAAAAGTCACACCCCACAAATCTCTGAAAAAATAGCAAATGAAATAAAGAAACAAATCCATGAGGTGATAGAGGAAATCATATTACACATAGTTTCCCATGTAAAGACAGAAATAACAACCTTAGTATAGGAGTTGATCAGCAAAGCCAGAGAAGAAATAGATTAAAAAAAAAATACAAGAACATGGGAAATTGATTGAAACCTTGAATGAACAATATAGAAAGCAAGCAGAATCAATGAAACAAATTCAAAGAGATATCCAAGAAACAAAAACTTCTACTGAAAGCTAGAAAAATCATTTAAATGAAGCTGAGGATAGAATTTCAGACCTTGAGGACAGGATCACAGTTAGCAATCATGAAAGAGTAGAACTTTTAAAAACAACAAATCAACATGAAATGACAACATAGCAGCTTCAGAATGATACCAAGAGAAACAATATAAGCTAATAAGCATCAATGAAGATGCAGGAATCAATGCAAATGACATAGGTAAGCTATTCACAGAAGTAATAGCAGAAAATTTCCCAAACTTGGGGAAAAAATCCGATATACAGAGAAGTGAGGCGTATAGAATGCCAAAGAGTCACAGCCAACATAAATCTATACTCAGACATGATAATTAGAATACCAGATATACAAGATAAAAACTACTAAAGAAAAGACACAACTCACCTAACAAGGAAAACCCAGCAGAATCATGGTAGACTTTATAGCACAAACCCTCAAGTTAAGATGAGCTTGGAGTAAAGTATTTCAATCCCTGCAAGGGAACAACTTTCAACCCAGACTTTTATGTTCCTAGCAAAACTGTCTTTCAAACTTAATGGAAAAATAAGATACTTCCACAACAAAGAACTAAAGAAATTTATGTTCACCAAACCACCTTAGAAAGAGTATTGAAAGACATACTAGATAGAGACAAAAATGACCATAATCTCTAGAACAACAGCAGAAAGATACCACCAGGTAGGGCAAGCAATTAAACAATGAGGGAAAGCAGAAAACAAACAACATAAACATAACGTGGTAAAGTTGAGCCAGTACATATCAGTTATATCCATAAATGTAAACGGCATCAATTCACCTATCAAAAGAAAAATGTTGACAGAATGAATCAAGAAACTGGGTCCCACAATATGCTGTATACAAGAAACACATCTGACCCAAAAGGAAACTCATAGGTTAAAATTCAAAGGCTAGAAAACAATATTCCATGCAACTGGAACCCAGAAAAAAGCAGAGATAGCTATTTTGTTGCAGACAATGTGAAGTTCAAACCTAAAATGATTAAAAGAGATAAAGAAGGTCACTACACAATTGTTACTGGAAAACTTCAAGAAGACGAACTAACAATTAAAAATATATATGCACCAAATACAGGAGCATCCAACTATATAAGATAGATACTAATGGGCATGAAAAACTGAATACACAAGAGCACAATTATAACACAGGGCTTTAACACCCCATTGTCACAAAGAGATAGATCAACTAGACAAAAAGTCAGCAAGAAAATAATAGAACTGAATCATACCTGTGAGCAATTGGACTTAGTAGATGTTTACAGAGTATTCCACCCAGTCATATCAGAATACACATTCTTTTCAGCTGTGCACGGGACATTCTCCAAAATAGACCATATATTAATCCATAAAACATTGTTAAGTAAAGGCAAAGGTATTGAAATTATCCCATGCATAATAGCTGATCATAGTGCACTGAAATTGGAAACTAATGGCAAAAGAAATCACAAAACTGGCATAAATATGTGGAAATTAAACAAAAAACCTTCTGAACAACCAGTGGGCTACAGGTGAAATTGAAGAAGAAATAAAGCAATATCTACAATTCAATGAAAATGAGGATACATAGCAATAAATTGTCACATCAAGAGCGAGCACAAATAAACAACCTGATGCTACATCTTAAGCTTCTAGAAAAGGGAGAGCAAGTCAAACCAAAACTCATAAACGAGAGGAAATTGTAAAGATCAGAACAGAGGTTAATGCAATTGAGACTAAAAAACAATACAAAGAATTAATGAATCAAAGAGCTAGTATTTTGAGAGAATAAACAAAATTGATAAACCTCTAGCCAATCTTATGAAGAAAAAGAAAGAAAAAACTCAAATTAACTCAGGAAAGACTGAAAAGATATGAATCACTACAGATCCCATGGAAATTCAAAAGATCATGAATAAATACTTAGAAACATCTCTACTCATATATGGTAGAAAACACAGAGGAAATGGACAGATTTCTAGAAACATATGAACTATCAAAGCTCAATCAAGAAGATATAGCAATTTTGAATAACTCAATATCATCTATTGAAATTGAAAATGTGATTAAAAATTTACCAACCCAGAAAAGTCCAGGTCCTGATGGATTCATGGCTGAAATCTACAGGAAATTTAGATAAGAGTTGACTCCAATACTCCTTAAACATTTCAAAGAAATTGACAGAGGAGCAATCAACCTAACTCATTCCTAGAGGCATCACTCTGATACCAAAATCAGAGAAAGACCCAATCAAAAATGAGAACTATAGGCCAATCCAACTAATGAACATTGATGCAAAGATTCTCAATAAAATACTGGCAAATAGAATGCAACAAGTCATCAAGAAGATTCTACATCATGTCCAAGTGGGATTCATTCCAGGAATTCAGAGATGGTTTAACATACACAAATCAATAAATGTAATACATCACATCAACAGAGCCAAAAACAAACTTCACATGATCATCTCAATAGATGCAGAAAAATCTTTTGATAAAGTCCAACACTTGTTAATGAGAAAAGCCCTACAGAAACTCAAAATAGATGATGTCTACCTCAATCTCATAAATCCATATATAACAAACCAACAGCCAACATTAAAGTAAATGGACAAAAATTGAAAGCCTTTTACTTCAAAATCAGGAACAAGACCATTCCTTTATAGTCAGCAATCCCTCAGACAAAGGACTTATATCCAGAATATATAAAGATTTGAAAAACATCAAGCTCCCAAATTTAAAGACCCTTTCCAAAAATGGGCATCTGAAATGAACACACATTTCTCAGATGAAGATATATAAATGGCAAATAAATACATGGAGAAATGTTCACCATCACTGGTCATTCGAGAAATGCAAACTAAAACACTGAGATTTCATCTCACTCCAGAAAGAATGGCTGCCATCAAGAAATCACCTGATAATAAATGTTGGCAAGGCTGCAGGGAGAAAGGAACACTGTTCCACTGTTGGTGGGTGTGTAGACTGGTACAGCTACTGTGAAATCAATACAGAGTTTCCTCAGAAGACAAGGATTGGAAGTTCCATTCAGTCCAGCTATTGTTCTCCTGGGTGTTTTCTCAGAAAAACTGAAAAGGTCATATCACAGTAATATTTGTGCACCCGTGTTCATAGCAGCACAATTTGTAATAGCTAAATCTGGGAAACAACCTAAATGCCCATCAACTGAAGAATGGATGCTGGGGATTTCGCTCAGCGGCACAAGCACCTGCCTTGGAAGCAGGCAGTCATGAGTTCGATCCCCGGTATTGATAAACACACACACACACACACACACACACACACAAAAAAGTGGTATTTTTATACAATGGAATATTACTCACCTATAAAAAGGATGATCTTGAGGCCTTTATAGGTTAATGGAGACAACTTGAGACTATCCTCATAAGTGAAATAAATAAGACACACATATGTAAATATCACATTCTCTCTAGTGTAAAAAATACAAAAAACTGAAAGAGTAATAAGATCCAAAATGTATACTAGAAATTGTGAAAGTGAAAGGAAGTGAAAGTGCTCTAAAGAATATAACTATATGTATGTTTCATAGCATAAGATAGAATAGAATATTAAGTTTTCCTTAGATCGTTGAACAGAATGGTTTGTACTGTGATTGTTTCAGTATCTGTCTACATTTGAGGCTTTAATTTTGTAACTTGAACTATTTCTAATAGGACAATATGTAACTCATCAACTAGTATTTCTCAGTGTTAATATTTTTCTTTGAAACTAGTATTACCTCTACCCTTTTTTTCAGTTTTGTCTTTTTTTTCTTTTTCTTTAAGTAAAAAAATAACAATAAAAAAATGAAAAGTGAAAAATATTTACTTCATATGATGGTAGGATTACTTGATGAGATAATTACTAAATGAAGTAGGATTACTAAATGAGATAATTTATATATTACTGATGTCATATACCTTTAATAAATTACTAATTATTAATTATCACTATATTCTAGGAAAGTACATGTGGCTTTAAAAAGTTACCCCTAAAACCCTTAAGATTCCAGACTTTAATAAATTATTAATTATTAATTATCACTATATTCTAGGAAAGTACATGTGGCTTTAAAAAGTTACCCCTAAAACCCTTAAGATTCCAGACATAAGAAACACAGAGCTTATTAGAAAACTAGTGGGGCCATCATCTTTGCACAGTGGGTGAGTACAGGACTGGGTGTGCTGGTTTTTGACAGTCACTAACCCTAACCCTAACCCACAGGATTGCTGTGAGAGCCTGAGGAAGTCACTCCTGCCTCCTAATCTCACTATCTCATTTGCACAGGATTGAAAGTGCTCAGATGTCAGAGGACCAGTTTTAAGGAGAATTTTCACTGGCCTACTTTAGCATTCTTACTCCATTAAACCACACAAATTTTGCTCTGACATGGCCATTCTGACAAGCTTTCCTATACCCACAAACCCTGGTTCACTCACGCTTTTATGGGAAGCAGGATGACTTCATTACACCTTCAGATTGTGGCCTGATGATGCATGTTTGTGCAAAGTGGGTGGTTGGCCCCACAATCTGGCACTGGGGACATCTGTTTACACTTAGCACAGGGACAGGCTTTCCACAGTGAGGAGTCAGCATGCTGCCTGCTAAATAGGGCTAGGCCCTGCATGGCTGCAGAAGTGGACTTCAGTCTGTACTCTGGATTCACATGTCAGGAAGAATAACCCAGACATGAATGATTTGAGGTAAAATTCAGCACTCTGATACCTCTGCATATAGATAAATAGCCTATGGATATAGAGCAGAGTTGGCCAGGAATGAAACTATTGTACTGATGAAGATGATTAAAGAAGATTTTGAAGGGGTCTTTGTCCCCAGGAAGAAGTCCAAGCCTCGGTAATACTGGTCCACACAGAAAGGGACAGCTGTCTGGAAATAGCCTTGGCCTCTGGCTCACACGATGGGAAGAGGCTCCCTCTCTGCACGACACTACTCTGAAGAATGGAGATCTTGCTCCAATGCAGAAGACACTGTCCCTGCAGAAAGGGACATTCGTCTTTGAAGTATTTGACTAGCCTTAATTCCCCAGTCTTCCATTCCCTCTGTATATCCCTGGACAAGTTACGCTACTTCTTTCAACAGCAGCTACTTCTTCTAAGAGAGATGCCACATGGGACCAACTAACATGTTTCATGCAAATGTTTTGTCTAATGTGAAATATTATCTGTATATCAGGAGCTGTTGTCATTATGCAGAGATCTCAAGATGACAGAGATAGAAGCAAATATATTTAATTACAGAAATTATTCTACATACCCCTTGAGAGATGGTTGCTCACATTTCCACATCAGTCATTCATTTCCAAGGATAAGTGACCATAGCCTGGCAAAAAATAAAAAAATAAAAAAATAAAAAGCCAGCTTTCTTCTCTGAGAGCTGTAGTGGTCATAAAATCCTGCCAAAGTCCTATTCCTTCCCATCATGGGACAGGTCTTGGTCAGTGTTCTCTCCTCTGCAGCAAAAGGAACAAATGTTCTTTTTCTTTCATGAAAAGCAATATTTGGAGTCTGCATTGGAGAAAAAATGCCTAGCCTCTAATGCCAAATTATGGGGGCTATTTTACAAGCTTGTATCTGAATAAGGGGTAATAAAGATGAAATACAAAGGGACCCAAAATAGGTTGAAATGCAGTGGCAAAGGGGCTCTTGTCTCCCTACAACAAAGAGCCCCAAGTGACTGGTACACCTGGCTTTCTTCACTTAGGTAGGGGCATAAGCAATCAGTAAACCTGCATTCCTCTGTCTCCTTCCATCCATGGTGTTTGTCTGGGTAAACAACAGGATCTCAGCTGTTTTTATTTTTCCTTGCATTGTGTTAGTGTGCACTCACACTGCCTTTCTCAGAAAAGGCTAGTTAGGCTTTAATTTTCTTATCGCATCTCCACACCAAGTAGTCCTGGGTTTATGTCCTGCTTTTCTAGTCTTTATCTACATTAGCTTGGGCATGTTGGGTAAACTCAGTCAACTTCAGTATGACTGATACAGGGAAAAGAGAACGAGGATTAAGCTCAATGATGTGTACACCGGGGAGCAAGTCCTCAGCACGCGCTAACTGCTGCATTAACCCCTTGCCACATGGTTGTTAGTGACTTGACTTTGTCATACTGTCAGCCCTCATATTCGACACATAGGGTTAGGAAAATATTCAAATGAGCTCATACTCCACTTGACTAGGTCATCCGCAGGTCAACTCCTTGTGCATTTATAGAGGGTCCCCTGTGTCCACATCATTAGGCACCACTGAGGAACTAAAACTGAAATGTTTCTTTCAAGAATGCGAAAAGACATTTGACAGTGGTCGTGATTCCAGAGTAGCTGATGTATGATAGCTTGGGAGTATAATGGGACGTTTTCACTTCTGAAAATTTGCTTTCCTTGTCTTTTAAAAGTATAACGTTTCATACTGAAATTACTTGATTGCTCTCGTAAAGGTCCACATTTGTACTTTGAGAACTAGCATTGTGACTTTCCCAACACTGCGTAAACTGTAGTCACTTGCTCTAGGCTTGCTCTTCTGCTGTACTCACTGAGAAACAATGTCATGTGATCACAGTTATTCTACATTCAATAGGAGCACAACAAAACTTGAGTGTTTTAGTCAGACTCTTTAACTGATGTTTATAGATCCCTCAGCTTCAAATCCAAGTTTGCTACTATTGTCGCCAGGCTTCCCTTAATTTTGTCTTGTATGCTTTTGAATCCTACTATGGACCTTCTATCTCCCACTTCACTCACTTCTGTTACTTGACTGAATATGCAGTCTAGACTCAGTTCTGCCAATTTCTTTGGACTTCCTGAGAGAATCTTGCCCCGCCATCCCTCAGTAGATGCACGGACACACACAATTTCTTCCTGCTGAAAAACTTCTTGCCACTTTCTCTGCCTGAAAAACTGCCTATACTCTTCTTCGTTGAGATTAGCGTAATGATTAGTATTTATGAGACCCCCATCCCCAAGCTCCCTAATATGTCTTGGGGTCATTTCTTCTCATCCCAAATCACCTGATCTTTACTAGCATCTTGCACTGACACCACCTTTGTTTTTGACACCAATTTTTAAAAATAATTTCCTATTTCCTTGTCTGTAAGCAGACTGTGAGCATATTAAGAACAGAAGTCATGCCTTGTCTGTTCATCTTCACGTCATTTTGAGTGTTTCATAAATGTTTCCTGGATGAATGGGCAAAAGCATCATAGACAAATGTGTGAGCAGTTTTCAGGGCCATGGGCAACGACACATCATTTTTCTTCTCTGGATCATACTTGTGAAAGACTCAATAAATCACCCAGTTCTCTTCGTACCCTTTAAAATTAAGAAACCTCAAATGTTTGAAATTAATCTGTGAATTGTCACATTCAGTAATAAATACTTTACTCCTCTTGAGAGCCATTTAAAACTCAGTTATACCATTTTTTTCATTGATTTTTAGATATTTCAAAGACATGACAAGAAGTCTTTCCCACTCTCCTTACATCGTAATAAGTAACCATAATCATGTGTGGAGTTCTACTTTCTTTTAACTCTTTTCAAGCAACAGAAATTATGCTGGAAAAAGGGAAAGAGGAAGATGAAGCGGCCAAGAGAGGAGGAGCATGTGGCTAGATCATCAGGCTTTTATGGTGACACTGCAGTTGCCTATACAAGGTAACTAAACTTCAACTTTCAGCTCTGCCTATGAATTCTTACTGCCTTTTGTTGGTCTTAACTGTCTCTTACTCTTTTGTGAATGTCTGCTTTTAACCGAGCAAAAAAATACTGTTCTGAAAATGCCATCATAGTCTACCAGGTGTAACTGATTCCTAGTGTGTAGACACCAAAGACTCATGTCTAAAACACATGAAATTTCATCTGACTGGCAACTTTCTTTCCTTAAGCACTGCCTCTGTCACTTTCCAAACCCAGAGAAACTTTAGTAACCTGAAATCTCCAGATTGTTCTTGCTTACATGACTTAGGCTGAGCTTTCCTTGATTTTATGTAATCTGTGAAAGTATTTGGTCATCATACATGTAACACACACAATACCACACCGCACCACACACACATAAACACACACACACACACACACACACACACACACACACACACACACACACGGAAGGTAGTTCTGTCAAATGGCCCCATGACAGCAACTGCATTTTCCTGTATTTCAAAAAATCTTATTCACCAAGCTTTCTTTTCTGTATAACACAGAACATGTGGCTATTTCCTCATCTTATTTCTCCCTCTGTCAAAGAGGATTCCTAGGTAAAATCATCTCACCTAAAATAAAATTGTAGCTCTGGTCTAGTTTGCTTTTGTTTTCACTATTGCATTTATCAGATATCCACAAAACTAGAGGCTTTGTCAGTTATGTTAACTATCACATCTCCAAACCTAGAATTGCTGGCACATCCTAGCTGATGGACAGATAGGTGGATGGACAGATGGATGAGTTCATGAACAGACAGATACAAACAGACCAACAGATGAATATCTCCCTCACCTCACTTCCCTTTCTGGCCTCTGCTAATCTCAGCAATCTCATCCTTTATTACTCTCCCAGTATCCAAAGTCACAACAGGCCACTTCTCACATGAGGGCCACATCATGCCATCCTAGAGCTCTACCTGGAATGGTCTTCAGTCCAGTTTTTACCTGGAAACTCAGCAGCAAAAGCAGGGTTTTCCTTTCCTTTTTGACAAAAGATCTGCATTCTCCTCATTAGTCTCTTCCTCATCATCACTTCATTGTCATTTTGGAGAATCATATTACTGTTACTGAATTCTGCTCAGTGGACCATAAGCACTGGAGCAGGAGGAATGTATGTCTTGCTCGAATATTTTGGATTCTAAGGACCTGGAATCATGTCTGGCATTCAATATAAAAGAGGTATCTGTTGAATTAATAAATGTATGTGAAGATCATCATAACTTAGAGAGCTACTGAAACACGTAAGCAAAATCCTATTAGCAACGAGACACTTCATGGCTCCATGAGAAGTAAATCTGTCAGCGATGTGACCGGCACATGTTACATTACAAATGGTTAATAAATGTTGCTTGTTGTGAATATATTATTCCTGTTATTGTCATCTATTCACTAGTATCTCTAGTCATATTTGCCTAGTCAAGATCTCATATACAAAATCCAAATTTTTGCATTGAAAATGAAACTCTCAAATTTTGGGTATTTTACATAGTGTTTGATTGTTAATAATAAAAGCCATTTTTCTGGATGAACATTATACAGACCCCAGACGCTGGCTCTGGTACATGAGCCTATCCTCTGCTCTTGGTGGCTTCGCACTCTCTCCATACAGCTGCTTGGCTTTGATGAGTCATTGGGCCTCACATCTGGCAGAACAATCCATGTGCTGACATCAGAAAGTACCAGGAGGCTGCACCATGCCAGGAAAGACCTGTGAATGTGATGCCAGGAGGACAGGAACGTCTTCAAGAGAAGGTCTGAATGTCCCTCTAATTGCTCCATTTAGCATTTGACTTCATCAGACTTTCCACTGTGAGAACAGTTTTCAGAATTTTACAAGCAAATTGTAAAAATGGTTTTGAGTATGAAACTTGAAGCAAGTTCTTTATCACTAGATCTCCACTTCCCTGGAATGTAACTGATTTCAAAACTGGAAGGGAGCTAAGTGGAGAAATGAAAGGAGAGCGATCCGTTTACTGTTTTAAAACCAAAAGAAAGAAAGAAATCAAAACCAGCGACTTGCTTTGAGTTTGATTCCAGAGGAAGCACGACCTCATTTGTGAGGTTGACTAGTCTCCTGTCTACTAGTGACTCACCAATGTCCTTGTAGCCGTTTTTGTCCCCTCTGTATCTCGGTCTCTCTTCCAACTGATGAAAACTCTGTATCCAGAGCTCTGCATTCCAAGACTTGAAGAGGTCTTCAGAAGACAATGGAAACTGTTAGTCCAGTGGAACAGTGTTTAAGATAAGAATATAGCTGAGAAAAAGGAGTGCTCTTTTGTGTAGAAACGACTACCAAACTACTTCTTCAAAGTGCTTTTACATGTTTGGTTTCCATCTGGTCTGAATATTTTGTCATTCAACACTCATAAAAATTCTACTTGGGCAGAGAATCGCAAGACTCCATGCATTTCTGTGCATCAAAATACACTTTTTTTTTCCTCTTTCGTCTTGGGAAAATTCAAGATGTATGAAGACCCAAAAGTATTCTCAACAAAAATTTTAAAATGTCAGGGAGCCAAGGAGGGAGTTAGCAGTTGTGAAGCTGGTTGAGTGTTGGAGATATTAGGATATACGTGTTCCTTTGGAAACTGCCATTCTAGCATGTCCTGTGGCACTGGGGCATGGTTTGAAG